TGAGACGAAGTCTCGCACTGTCACCTGGGCTGGAGTGTAGTGGCACCATCTTGGCTCACTTCAACCTCCACCTCCCAGGTTCAAGCAATTCTCCTGCCTCAGCCTCCAGAGTAGCTGGGATTACAGGTACCTTCCACCATGCCTAGCTAATTTTTGTATTTTTAGTAGAGACAGGGTTTCACTATGTTGGCCAGGCTGGTCTGGAGCGCCTGACCTCATGATCCACCCGCCCTGGCCTCCCAAAGTGCTGGGATTACAGGTGTGAGCCACTGTGCCCAGCATGCCATGACTTTTAATGGAAGAAACCGCAATTACTTTTGCACCAACCTAATAATAACATTTCCTGTGAACAAAGCAGGCCAGCCAGTGAAATTAATTTTGTTAGGGTCTTGTCTTTCACCATTAGCCCTCATGGCAAAATAGTCAGCTCCAATTATTCATGCTGATTGGAACACGGAGGGGAGGTCAAGTAATCAGTAGATTAGGAAGTTAGGTAATCAATAGATGATCACAAAACCTCTATGATTTAAATCTGTCAAACTTTTATCAGGAAACATTGACGAGCTCAACTCAGATTTCCTGTTTTTTTTGAGATGGAGTCTCGCACTGTCACCCAGGCTGGAGTGCAGTGGTGTGATCTCAGCTCACTGCAACCTCCACCTCCTGGGTTCAAGCAATTCTCCTGTCTCAGCCTCCCAAGTAGCTGAGATGACAGATGTGTGCCACCACGGCTGGCTATTTTTTTTGCATTTTTAGTAGAGACCGGGTTTTACTATGTTGGCCAGGCTAGTCTCCAACTCCTGACCTGATGATCTGCCTGCCTCAGCTTCCCAAAGTGCTGGGATTATAGGCGTGAGCCACTGTACCCGGCCAATTTCCGAGAAACAGAAGACGAGGAAGAGCTGGTATTGCTGTTTCTCATCATGGAGGGGAAGTGTTTCATCACACACTCCATCCCTCTTGCACCACAAGATTCCCTCTAAGTCTTTATTACTAGCAGTTAAAATTATCAAAATTATTCATGTGAGGTTCTGGGGATTTCAGGACTACGCCCATTGGAGAGCCAGTGTCACGAGGGGTTAATCCACAGGGAATTTCACATGCCCCAGACTTACTCTCCATTTGCTCTTGGCGAAGTTCTTCCGGATCTGGGCACTGACAGACTCATGGATGTTTTTGTTGAGGGCCGTGTCACCAGCAATCCTGAAACATAGGCAAAGGTGCTTTTTCCCAGCCCTGACACTGCGTCTCACGAGGGGAGGTCTTACCCTAGCCTCGGGAGAGCCGAGGCTCGGTTGGCGACAGTGTGGCTGACTACTGCCCTTCCAGGCTGCTGATGTCATCATCACCTGGCCACTCCCTAAACCCACCCATTCTACTGCCCTCAGCCCAAAGTCCTATCTCAGCCTCTGCACTCTGTACCCTCCCCAGACCCACCAGCACCCTCCTGGTTGACTGCTCGCTGGCTCTCACTTTTTCCTTCTTTGACCCCAATTCCTGTAACATCAGAATCCACAGTGACAACGTTTCCCGCCCTCTCCCTTCCTCTTACCCCCTCTGCCTCCACACAAGCTTTGAGCCCCCATGCACCACCGCCGGGGACTCACACTTGTTCCCCAACTGGCCTCACCACCAGACGCCTTCCCAGCCTGCTTCCCAGCTTCCTCAGACCCGAGGTCCCTCCTCTCTGCCTTCCCCAGGGGCTCTGCCCCCAGGGCCACATTCACATCCGAGGGCTCTCAGCTTCATCTCAGCACAGCTGAGCCCTGCCACATTCTGCTCTCAACACCTGTGAGCCTGTGCTCCCCACCTGCTCCGCAATGGGTGAGAAGATTCCCAGCTCCACTCAACCCCACCCGGGGCATCCTCCACCCTTGCATCTCCTAGAAATTCTCAGAACTTCATGAACGGCTGCCCCTGGCAGCCCCGAGTGAGCTTTGATTTAGCGCTAGTTGATTCCTGAACCTTCCACAAGCAGACAGGAACATACATTTGCTTCTGGGCTCCTCTCCTGACAGTAGGAGACGTCACTCTTTCCATCCCACTCTTTCCGCCCTCTGCTGTCTCTTTCTTATTACAGCTTCCCCTTCTCTCTGGGCTTACAATCTCTAGGCCGAGAATTGCCCGGAGATCTCCCAGCTCTTTCTTCCCTCCTGGACCACAGCCTTCCTTCTCGACCACAGCCACCTCCTCTCCCTGCTGGCAGCCACTTGGCCTTCCCCCAGAGCCGCTGTGCTCTGCGACCAGACTTTCCTGGTCTTTGATCCTTCTCTCTTCCTTTCTCTCTAGCACCAAACTATTCAATTCTGGGTTAGCGTCTAATGCCTAAGAAAGAATTTCATGAATCTTGCAGAAGTTAAGGGGATCAGAGTCAGGGACCAGCGTTCCCAGCTGGAAGGTAACTGGCAAGGGAGGAAACCTCCCAGTCCCCAGACAGTGACCGCCCTGGACGCAAAACAGCCCAGACACAACCATCGCTTCCAACTGCTTCCGGAGATGAAAGGTACACACACGGCTCAGGCGTGTTCAGACGAGAAAGCATCCCAGCCAGACTTTCTTTCCCTTCCGGACTGCAGACATGGTGGACAGAGTTGATATTAAATCGGTGCCAGACTGGCCTAAGTTTAGAATCCAGGCTGATGTTCCCAGCTCAAAACAACTCTTCCTCCACCACCTTTTCCCAGCAGAGCTGAAAACACACAGCCAAGAGGACACTTGGGAAATAGCTTAAGAGAACCAGGTTTCCATTTCCAAGAACTGTCAACTGCCTTCCTTCCCAGACCCATATCCCTGAAATAGAAATAGAATATTTGAATGGCCAACTACATCTGAAACAAGAGTAACGAGTCAAGGAGGATGAAGGAATGGGAGACATCTTTATGAAGCTTTTTCTCCCGGAGAGCCCAGGGCGGAGATTCCTCCTGGACCCTGTTGAAAGGCTACACCCTCAGGAAAGGATGCCAGTCCAAGCTTGCAGTGGCCAGCTCTTTCTTAGAAATGACAAGGCCAAATCGGTGGGAAGTCTGGAATTCCTCAGGCTGAGCAGCGCTGCCGGGCAGAGCCAGGCTCCAAAGCAAACAGGCTGGGGTGGGGGTCGGGGGGGGGCTCCAGGCCTTGGGGTCTACCTGCCTGTCCGCAGTGTGGTCCCAGACACTATGGCCTGAGGCCTGCTGCCTGTACTCTGTGTCCCAGGCTATATCTGTGGGTTCACGTGTACCCAGATGTAAGAAAACAGAAGCTTCTAATTATGTTAGGAATGTTTCATGTCCATTTCCCACAGTCCTGGGCTGTGCAGCAGTGGGAATCCAGCTAGGCAGAAGGTGGCCCCCAGGCTGCGTGTTACCCAGACTTCCTGCAGCGGTGCAGCCACCTCGGGCCGCAATAGCACACCGTTGCCCTCCTCCAGTACGAGGTGAAATGACAGTGGTGCCCCTGCTCACGATAAGCTAGGAAACTTGCAACAGAAACATCAGGACAGCGCTGATGCTCAGTGCCACTAACTCCAGCACCCTTCACCAACAAATCCCAAGACATGGAGTCTGGACATTGGAAGGGATCCTAGAGGTCACCCAGATTGTCCTAGAAATTGACCAATGCTTCTGTTACAGCAGGACTGCTTTATAAATCCATATACACACATGTAGGTAATGCTGTGGGCAAACACGCTTCATGCATGTCTCCCTTGCTTTCTGTTTTTTTTTTTTTGACACAGAGTCTTACTCTGTCATCCAGGCTGGAGGGCAGCGGAGCGATCTCGGCTCACTGCAACCTTCGCCTCCGGGTTCAAGTGATTCTTCTGCCTCAGCCTCCGAAGTAGCTGGGATTACAGGCATGCACTGCCATGCCAGGCTGATTTTTGTGTTTTTAGTAGAGACAGCGTTTCACCACGTTGGCCAGGCTGGTCTCGAACTCCTGACCTCCAGTGATCCTCCCACCCTGGCCTCCCAAAGTGCTGGGATTACAAGTGTGAGTCACCGCAGCCCACCAGCTTTCTCGTTTTAACAGCTACCAGAACAACACAGACGGCATTTACGTGACCACACCTTTTACAGCCTGTCTCGCTACCCACTGCTCATGGACCATCAGCCTCATCTCGCCTTGCCTTTTCTGGTTTTGTGTTTTGTATGTGGTCTCTTCTACCTTCATGGCTCTGAGTCTGCACTTTTCCAGCCACCTGCTCAAGATAGGCTTGGTGGCACCTGGCGTGTATCCCAGACAGCACTGGCCAGTCCTGGGCCACCTCCCAATTCCTTCGGCTAACCAGAGCTCAGGTGGCTAGAGCCTGGGAGACAGGAAGGGGTCTCAGTGAACATTCAGGAGTGTGAATGTGGCTACTTGGCTAGGCCTGCAGTACCCAGATATTTGGCCAAACACTAGCTTGATGTTGCTGGCAAAGAGATGAGATGAACATTTCAATCAGTAGACTTTGAGTGAAACCAACTAGAGGCCATGCCATGGGTGAGCCTTGTCCAATCAGTTGATGGTCTTCATGAAAAGCAGGAAAAGGGACTCCTGTCTCCGTCTGCCTTTGGACGTGAGCTGCAATATCAGCTCTTCCCTGGGTCTCTAACCTGCTGGCCTGCCCTACAATTTTTTTTTTTTTTTTTGAGATGGAGTTTTGCTCTTGTTGCCCAGGCTGGAGTGCAGTGGCATGATCTTGGCTCACTGCAACCTCCACCTCCTGGGTTCAAGCAATTCTCCTGCCTCAGCCTCCCAAGTAGCTGGGATCACAGGCATGCGCCACCACACCTGGCTAATTTTTTGTATTTGTAGTAGAGACAAGGTTTCACCATGTTGGTCAGGCTGGTCTTGAACTCCTGACCTTGTGACCCACCTGCCTCAGCCTCCCAAAGTGCTGGGATTACAGGCATGAGCCACCATGCTCGACCTGCAAATTTTGGATTTGTGGTACCCAGAATTGCATGAAACAGGCTAAATCCTTAAAACAAATTAATCTCTCTCTGTCTCTTTCTCATCACTTCAGCTTGTTTATCAATGAGTGTAGAGGTAGATGCTCAGAACCACTGAGCTGGAGGAATGAGCTCTGGCCAGCGCTGCCCTGGAAGGGGGCCTGGGTTCCCGTCCTGACCCTGGACATTCCCCACACTGTGGCCATTAGTCAGCAGCCTGTTGGGGCCTGAGCACATACCACAGAGAGAATGGCCATCCTCAGTGAAAGGGGCAGGAACCATCTGTCAAGAGGCCAGCTGCCTTCCAAGGGGCAGTTTTGAAAGGAGCCCTCTCCTGTCCAGAGTGATCTGTTTTGGGGCTAAGGAAGGTGTCTGCGATTGCCACGGCCTCCCTCGCCCTGTGTGGCCCTGATGAAGTCAGGAGGGCAAGTATGGAGAAAGAGATGACGCTCTGGGGGTGTCAGGGATGTGCGGAGACCACAGCTTCCAGAGTGATGCCGCTGATGAGGCGGGCGCCCCCCACCCTGGAGGAATGACTCCGCTTTCTGCCAGCTCTCTGCTGAATCTGTGTTCTCCTTTGCCCAGGCAATTTTACATAGAAGAGACACGTATATCACTAATGCAGATATTATGCATTAATAATATACGTGTTAGAGAGAGCGGAGAGTTTCAGCGATGCTTGGGTCAAGTGCATTCGTTTTCGTCCTTTTCCAGGGTTTGACTTCTTGGGGGGTTTCAAAGGTACTGTAAAAATGATAAAGCCCTGGGAAAAGCCACCTCTGAATGAAGGCATTCACGGATAGGCTCACAGGCTATGACATCTTACGATGCGACGTGGGCTGATAACTCTGAAGCCTTTGTCTCTAGCTTGACCTCTTTCTGGACTCCTGATTCATTCAGCAGAGTGCCCACCACGGCTCTCCATCAAGACGGCTCCCAGCACCTCTGGTACAGCCTGCCCCAGGCTGAACTCACTCCTCCAAGCCTGCACCCAGCACAATCATCGCCCCCGTCCCTTAAGCCTCCTTAAGGAAACCTGGGAATAATCCTAAACCCTTCTCTTCCTCACCTCACCCTGCCACTGCTCTGCCCAATGCTCGTGGCTTCTCAGCCCCTGACAGTCACTCAGTCCTCTCTGCCCTGCCCCATCCCTGCCATGCTTCCTGGGCACAGGCCACTGTCACCCTCCTCTGGCCCAGTCCCCTTCCCACCTCTAGGCCACACCTTCCGGCCACACTCCCACCCCCCATCACCTGCCACATTGGATTTTCTAAAATCAAACCTGAGCACCCTGTCTAAGAGATGTTAGGGACCCCAATGCCCAAAGGGAAAGGTACAATTCCTTGGGAGAGTCATAAATTAATGGCAACCTGGATGTATCACAGATGTGTCTGGTGTAACGCTTCTTCCTCGTTACATGTATTGTCTCACGTAACCCCTTGAAAAGACCTGCGGGGTCTGTATTATTGTTATTAATGATCCGATTCGACAGGGGCAGCCCAAAGGGTTTGGAGCTCATCCGCACGGGTAATGAGTGCTGACGCCAGGACCCTGCCCTGCCTGCTAGTTCCTGCCTTCCCTCCCAGTCTCATCTCCTGCGTCCTCCATCGTCTCCTTCTCTGGAATACCGAGTGCTCATGATCATGAACGCACGTGCAGTATTAAGCTCCTGTGTTGTGGACTCAGGTGCCCGTCTGCCTGGAATCCCCTCCTCTTCCTGCTGGTCTGGGGGAAGGCTTCTCATGGTGCGGCACTCAGTGTGGGCACCACCTCCCGCTGAGCCCACTGTGCCCTTTCCCAGCCTCCTCAGGAAAAATGTCCTCTCCCTACCTTGTTTTTTCCAAAATGTTCGGTGAAGGAGAGGGCAGGTGTGAACGGGCCTTTTTCCTGCCTTCTACAGAGCAAGTATGGATGGTAAAACCACTAGGGTCATAGCTCCTTTCTTACTGAGGTCATTTTTCTTCTCTGTAAGATAATCTCAAAAGTCTTACAGCTTTAAAGGCCTATTATTTATCAAGTAAGAAAACCTTCAGTATCTTTACCATCACATACTTTGACTACTGTCTAAAGTGACTTAAACAAAATCAAGATGATACACAATCATGACTGTTCACTTCTTCAGATCATTCTTTCCTTCTCCCCCAGCCCTCTCCTTTCTTCCCCTCTTCTTCTCCTTCCAGTGTGATGGTGAAGAGAATTCACTTTGCAATCAGACAGTTCTGGATGGAATCCTGGCTTTGCTATTAGCTAGCTGTGTGGTCTCGGATAAGTTAATTTATCTTTTTTTTTTTTTTTTGAGGTAGAGTCTGGCTCTACCGCCCAGGTTGGGGTGCAGTGGTGCCATCTTGGCTCACTGCAACCTTCCCCTCCTGGGTTCAAGTAATTTCCAGGCCTCAGTCTCTCGAGTAGCTGGGACTACAGGCACACACCACCATGCTTGGCTTTTTGTGTTTTTAGTAAACATGGGGTTTCACCATGTTGGCCAGCCTGGTCTCAAACTCCTGACCTCAAGTGACCCACCTGCCTTGGCCTCCCAAAGTGCTGGGATTACAGATGTGAACCACCATGCCCGGCTATCTCCCTATTTATCTCTGAAATGAACATAAAACTTCACAGCGTTATTATAAAGGAAAGAAAGAAGATAATACATTAGAGCAATTAGCCCGGTGTCTAGAATATAATAGAGACTCAGTAAATGACAGGTGTTATACACTGAAATACTGTGAAATGGGGTCAGGACATTGTCTGTCAGCAGGTCCCCTTTAGAAGGCTGACCAGCCAACAAGACCCTGGGGGAAATGCTGCAAAGGTTGGTGGGGGACAAAGAAGGATGGTTTTCCGGAGTGATTTTTAGGGGGATTTTCTCCTGACCTCAAGGTTCTGTCCATTTATTTTCATTATCTTTGGTATTTTACAACTCTCGACATTTGTTTACAATGGAGGCTCATGGTGCTTACATAACAATCACTACAGGCCGGGCACGATGGCTAAGGCCTATAATCCCAGCACTTTGGGAGACGAAGGTGGGTGGATCACCTGAGGTCAGGAGTTCGAGACCACCCTGGCCAACATAGTGAAACCCCGTCTCTACTAAAAATATAAAAAAATTAGCTGGGCATGGTAGTGGATGCTTGTTAATCACAGCTACTTGGGAGCTAAAGCAGGAGAATCCCTTGAACCCAGAAGTTGGCGGCTGCAGTGAGCTGAAATTGCGCCACTGCACTCCAGCCTGAGCGACACAGACTCCATCTCAAAAACCAAACCAAAACAAACAAAACAATTGCTACAATAAACTAAGCATTTCTGATGGGCCAGAGAGTTTCTGTGCTAAACCCTCTACATCACCTGAGGTCAGGAGTTTGAGACCAGCCTGGCATTAACTCCGTTATTTCTTATGTCGATAATCTGCAGATTAGATATTGTTATTCTTGTTTTAACAATGAGGAAACTTAGGCTCAAAAAGTCAAGTGTAAACCTAGCATCGCAGCTAGCTGACAGTGAAGCCAGTTTCTAAATCAGTGGCACAAGGCAAGGTAGCCTCACAGCCACGGCTGAAAATGTGTAGAATGCCATCAGCTATCAATTAGTCCCTCTAGGGCTGACGAAACACAAAGTCAAAGAGCATCTTATAAAAGGAAAAAATATGTATCTTCAATTCATGTAACTACTGAGTAATAAACTCAAGGAATAAAACTCCGATCCTAATGCCTCATCGGGCAATTACCTCCAATATTTCTAATGACTTTCTGTAAAGTGCAGAAGCAGCCATCTTTGCATACTGATATGGTTTGGCTGTGTCCCCACCCAAATCTCATCTTGAATTCCCATGTGTTGTGGGAGGGACCTGGTGGGAGGTAATTGAATCATGGAGGCAAGTCTTTCTCGTGCTGTTCTTGTGGGCATGAATAAGTCTCTCACAAGATCTGATGCTTTTATAAAGAGGAATTCCCCTGCACAAGCTCTCTCTCTTTGCCTGCTGCCATCCATATAAGATATGACTTGCTCCTCCTTGCCTTCCACCATGATTCTGAGGCCTCCCCAGCCACGTGGAACTGTGAGTCCAAGGAAACTTCCTTCTTTTGTAAATTGTCCAGTCTCAGGTATGTCTTTTTTAGCAGCCTAAAAACAAAAT